GTAACATTACAATGACACAATATTGCCTTCTAGCATAAGTATATCAACATTGGTATTTACAGCAGTTCAATAAGCAGTATTGAGGTAGCAGAGAAAGGGTCAGCATCTTACAAAGTGCCTCCAATAACCATAGGTTCCATGCTTACTTTTTGCATTTATTTTTACTAAAATACCACTGGTTAAAAGAAGCACTTCAAAGACCTGTATCCGAAAAACCCATAAACAGCCAAAATAGATAACAAATTTGCTAAAATCATTAAAAGAAAACAAATATCAAGAAAAGGAAATAACTCAAAAATGAGGTAATAAACGGAAATACACAAAACAAAACTGGACTCATTAAATGAACCAAAACTTTGACATGCACTTTGGCAGCTAAAGCCTTCCATAGTAGCTCAAATCACTTATATGGAAGACTTTCATGGCCACAATGCAATGTCAACGTTTTGGATTATGTTTAAGTCTGAAATGAGGTACACAAGAGAAATTAAACTTTCAATGAGGTATTTAAATTAAATATGTAAATAATTTTTTAATTAAGTTATCTGTTATCATTAAATATACGATGCTTTGAGGTAGTTTCTTTTTAAGGTGGATACTTGATTAAGCATTGAACTTTTCAAGAAATGACACAGAAAAACCCAAAATCTAAATTTATTTAAATATATTTCAACAACTTACTAGGACAGTTAAAAAGTAACTTTTGTGTTGATCGAACCAAAAAGGCAAAATATTTTCTTCAATTTTGTTATCCAAAAAAGAAAAGGGGACAAAAGTTACATCTGTGCCATACCTTTATGACCTTGAGATAAACGATAAGAGTTTAAAGGTCAGAAGTTATGACCTTGAGATATATATGACCTTGAAGAGGGCAAATGTTTTAACATGCATCCTGAGATTTTCATGAGTGTTTGTAGGAATTCACAACTAAAATATAAAGATTGAACACACAGTCTCCAGCTGGGTCACTGAGGTAGATTCTAAATCTTCAAAATATTGAGCATGATTACCGCTAGGAGACTTATCAATGTTTGGAGAGGGCAGGGTGGGGTTGGATTGTAAAGGGGATTCTTGGTATGGTTAGTGCCAAATTGAACGTGTTGCCCCTAAAGCTTTTGAATTATTTTTTCTAAATTCAAATTTCTAATAAAACTTTCTGAAAATAAAATTATTGTTAAAGTTAGTCCAAAAAAATTCCAAAGGCTCTTTAGAAAATGTGGGGTTGGATGAACTTTTGCCCTTACACTGTTTCATCTAAAAAAAAAAATCAGAACTCTTTCCATATATGAAAAATATCAATTTTGAAAAGACACTAACACCAAAAATTAGAGCCAGTAAAATATTGAACCCTAAACCAAAAAAGTTGACAGCACCTCCCAAAATTCCTCTCCAACATTTGCTCCTGAAGTCCTGAATATTAAATTCCTGAGTTACGATTTGATACCCATAAAGTCCCTGATGGTGGAAGGATGGCAAGAAATGGGGCGTTATTTAAATTTGGACATCATATTATATGGAATAGACCCAGCTAGGAGTATAGTGTTTTAAAATTGAGATATTAAACCGGTATGTGTATTCCCAAAAATCAAGGAGGAACTTGAAATTAGCTGCCGTGGTCCAAACAACTTTCTGGATTTCACCTTTTTCAAAAAAAGAGCTCTGTATGGAAGAGAACAAGGGTTTGAATATAAAATTTCCCAAAAATTTTCTAGAATCTAAATGTAATCAATTTTTTTTTCAAATGTATCCTTTCAGGTTTAGTTTTATTAAGAAACCTGTAAATTGGTTTTAAATTTTGTAAACATAATTTTGTCACTTATCATCTTCCATACAAACCATTATTTTATGATATAGTAAAATTCCTTCCAATTTAGAGACATTTCAAGACAACTTTTGTCTTTCACAATCCATGAATATGAATAAATGATACAAGAAAACCTGAGTTAAAAAATACCAGAGATCAAGTAATAAATAGCAGAATTTTCATTGAACATTGGTATAAGACATTTACTGTATATTTGTGAATATAGCGCGCACATTTAATACGCACCGTGTCTTAGCTTACAGTAATTCTGGGAAAAAACGGTACATTTTTTGACATTTTTGAAAGACATTTTAAAAGAAAAATTGATTGAAATTTGTTGATCTTCCAAAAAATTAAATGCCTTCCATTTCTTTAATTTTTAAACATAGCCGACAATTGATTCTCATTGGTCAATAAAAACTCTGCTAAAATATATCTCAGTCGAATGTGGTTTCAGTTGGATACCCGAATAACTTATTAGTTGAGGTCACAAGTTGATGAATACTTACTGAGTCTTACTTAAAATTTCAGTTTGCCTTAAAAAAAAAATTTAGAAAACTTAAATGATATCAATAGACTAATTCAGAATAAAATTGGAATAAAAAGTAATTGGGGAAAAAATCACAAATATTGATACTTTAACGACACACTAACAAATGAGAGTTTTATATTCGTCTTGATAAAACTAATTCTGCCAAATCATAACTAAACATTATACAAAAAATTGACTAATACAAACAATTTTGGCATATTTTGCCATTCAATTTAAAACCTTAAACCTAACTGCATTGAATATTTAAAAATTTACAAACGATAATCATGCCAAAATTAAACTAACCATTATACAAATATTCTCTAAAATCAAAATTTTGGCATGTTAGTCATTTAATCTATAATTCAAAACTGCATTGTTATTTTCAAATAAAAAGTGTATCAGAGACACAGGGACACAGGGACTTGTGAAGCAGCTCTGCTTGGTATCCAGTAAGACAATATAGTATAAGGCCCCTGTGTTTTTTCAACTCATAACAAGTGCATAGCATGATGTATTAATGGCACCTCGATATAATTTCAACAGATAAACTATGGCACTTGCGGTAAAATCCACTGGACACCAAGAGGTCTGCAAAATTTCACAAGAAAGGGGCATACGTTGGTGTTGGTACAAAGCAACGAACTTATCCAAAAACGTCTTCACATTTGTCAAGACTTTTTGTCCAGGACTCTGATTGGCTGTATTCTCTGACGTACAATCCAACCAATTTGCAGCATTCACAAACTTCTGTGATACAAGAAAAGTGGCTATTGTAGTCAAGGTATAAGACACAGTTCGTAATAGCTAGACATTGTGAAGATGATTTAAAAATACCGAAGTCCTAATTGTTACTTAAAAACAAAATCAGACAATACTATTAAAAAGAGTCATTACCAATAAAATTACTAATTCAGTATTCAGAAAATAGGAAAATACTAATGTATCATCTAGCTATATAATGTGTCTTGGACAAAGAGGTTTCAAAACGTAAACATGTATCATTCTAGCTATAATGTCGTTGGTAACAATGTTTATATGTGTTATGCTGTATTTTATTTCCAGAGTAAATATGTATCATTAAGGTATATATACAAGAAACACTTAAACCCGTAAAATAAAATGTATCTATTAAAAACATGTATCTAATGTATCTCTTAACAATAAAGTAAATGTGATAGAAATTTATTCTAAGAAACTTAAGGAAGAAATACTCAAAACCCGTAAAAATTATATGTATCTGAGAAATAATAAATAAAGTATTATGTATCTAAATTGAGGTATAAATAAATTATAAGATGTATCGTCACTGAGGTATTTGTATTTATAAATAAAAAAAAACTTTAAAAATGGGACATCAATGTTCGATGGAAAGATACATTAGGATTCAATATGTATCCTTCATAAAATGTTCAATTTAAAGATACATCTGAGTATTTAAAATGTATCCTTGCAATCATTTGATTAAATGATACATTCAAGGCTCTAAATGTATCATTTAAATTTTCAATTAAAGGATACATCCAAGGACATCCTTAAAATTTTTCGATTAAATGATACATCTCAATTACTCAAAATGTATCCTTTAACTTAAACATAAAAATGTGTCTTAAAGGTAAAATAAAGATGTGTCTTTTTGAGGTCAGTTCTGGTTCTATGACTAGTATAATGAAATCTTTAGTAATGCTGCAGTTTAGCTGCTTGATTAGGGGAGGGGTGGGGCAATATTCAAGGCCGATTGAGCTGGAGGAAGGGCACAAGATGGCTGAACTACATACTTAAACTAGCCACAAGGATGCAGGAAAAGTAACAAACCAATTCTGTCCATCAAAATCTTGCACCACCTTTCTGGAATCACCCTTTTTGATATATTGCCTTGTTTGTTGTTCCACACTCCATCAGGCTTCGACAAAAATCTTGAAATATTGATGAGCATCACCATAATCATTGAAATTTCGTTGCTGAGCATCAGCTGGTGTTCATGCAATTTTGTCCATTGTTGACACCCATCTTTTTCATGAAATAAGTTACTTGTCGATGAGCATCATGTATTCATAGAAAAAGTTGATCGTTGTTGTGCATCATCTTGCAATCGTGAAATTTTGTCGAAGTCTGTACTCCTGTTTTGTAGATATCGTTCTTCACGTCTGGTGTAGTTCCACGTCTGATTGGATGTTGTTCTCACTCCTAGAGCTTTCTTTCTAATCTCCGTTGGGATATTGTTCTATATCTACTTCATAGCAGAAATCAGCATCTGAAATACCAATGAAATATCAACTAGTTGGCTAGTTGGTAGTCACCAGCAAAAGGACTTAATAGATTGGACAGTTTCGTCAGCAGCTCAAGACTCTTTGAGAGAAATCATGCCAAGCCCTGTATGCTTACTAGTCAGCTATACCCCATTTTTAAATACATTTATGATTCAAATTTCTCATGTTAAGACTGTTTCTAGTCCTTGAATCTGCAACAGGTACCCTCTTAGGCCAAGCTTCCAATTGCACCAATCCAAATATCCTACTTTGGATCCTCTGATTTAAAAAAATTTGACCAGAACAGAACAGAAATATAACTGATACTCATACAAAGACTAAGAAAAATCCTCTTAAAGCTACGATTAAAGCTAGTAGATTGCACAAATGCTGAATAACTTACCATTAACCAACCTCAAGCCACATACTCATCTCTGAAAGTATGGTAGTTGGGTATGGTGTGAGGGTATTTCACATGCCAAACCGTATGAAACATAAACTCAATACGATCCTGGCAATGCTTAGCACAAGATGGGCATCGAAAGGGATTCTCTTCGTAAGGTGAATGCAGACTCTTGTGCAGGTTGAACATGGTGAAATCGTAGAAAAAGATGTTGCAGTGCTGACAATGATGAATGCCGCTATCTGCCGTGGGAGAAGCTGAGGTAGTAGTAACGTCACGTTTCCCTTCGCATTCTGAATCGTCACCAGGTGTCTTAGGTGTCGTGATCGAGCGACGAAAGGGCGAATGACGACCTTCTTCTGATGCGGCGCTTGGTGTCTTCGCCACGCTCAAGTCCATCACTGTATCCGGACCCTCATCTTCAGGAGTCTTCGTAATTTCGTGTTGATAACGATCGTGAAGGTAATCCTGGCGAGGCGGAGCAGGAAGTGGGATCCCTGGATGATTATTGGTTGAACTTTCTGGTGGCGAGTAGCTCGGACGTCGCATCATCATTGGTTCATGTGAGTATGGATGTTTGCCCTCGAAACCCGTAGACATCAAAATTGGTGCTGAATGAATCAGACGACCTGAAAAAACATAATTTGGGACATGAAATGGAGGCTACTGGGAAGATTGTTTTCATCAAAGATATAACATGAACAGACAATCTGAGAAAATCAATGAGGTATGGTCATGGAACAGCTGGTAGAAAGGATCCTAATGAATCTAAGTTTATCTTTTGAAAAAATAAATATTTCAGAAAATAACACTTCCTTGAATAATCTATAGCTCATATACAGATACCCTTTCAAAATGGCTACTCACCGTGACTATAGTTTGATGAATGAGGACTTTGTAATCCATCAGATGAGGTAGATAAACAACGTTTCTCGTGGCGACGCTCTCCAGCTTCTAGAGGTGTACTAGGTGGCGTGACCTGTTCCAGTTTTATCGGACTGTCAGGTTTTCTTTGAGTATGTGAGGTAGTAAGTAGGTTCTCTTCCTTGGTGATTGGAAGCGGATATCCACGAAGCGGAGGTTCCTGAATGTGAGGGTGAAATACGTGACTCTGTATGCCTGCTCCACTCTGCTGCATTCGCATACTCTCGTAGGTCAGAGCTTGTTGAAGCATTGCTCTCTGCTGCATGGCAAATGCTTGGTAAGTGGCAAGATTGACTTGGCTGTTTGTTCTACCCTGAGCTTTGTACCCGCATAATTTTCCTCTCATGTGAACATTCCTCTCGTGCCGTCGCAGATCATTTGATTGGGTGAAACATCTATGGCAGATTTTACATTTGTAAGGCCTTTCCCCTGAAAATGGAATGAAAATGTTGCTTGAGATATTAGACAAATACGGTGTCTGCCAACTTGTTGTGGTTTTTGGGTACAGAGAGGATGTGTAATTTTTATGGTGACAATATTTTCTAGTTTTACTTGTGGGTAAAAAGGGTGCACATTATATTTGCAATTATACTGTATAAAAAAACTGAATTTGAAGCATAGCTATTGTCTTAAATTTGCTATAATATATATATTTCAAAGTCAATTGGTGCATACTCTCCCTAAGACAATAGTATACAGTAATCTTTGAGAGAGCGATGAAAATATCTCGAAATAAAAGTGGAAAAGCAAGCTAACCTGTGTGAACACGTTCATGAACTTTTAAATTGGAGGACCAGAGAAAAGATTTGCCACAAGTGGTACAGACATACGGTCTGTCTGCACGATGAAGCTGCTCATGCTTTCTCAGTGTGGCTACCTCCCGAAAACATCTCTGGCACACCTCACATCGATGTGGTCTAGCTCCTGAGGTAGATGGTAGTTTGACGGGGGGTGTCTCTTTGAATCCGTTTGTTTCTGCTTCTGTTGTGGGTGTTTCTTCCATATCTGGAAAGACAGCAAAGGCAGAGAATTAGTCACTTGTTTGGAACAAAGATCAGGTATCTGTTGGATTATTTTGAAATTTTATGGAATATCAGAAAGCATAAAAATAAAGATAGAAAAGATAACACTATAATGTGGCAGGATAAAAACATGACATCTCCTTTTCAATTGTGGTCATTCTAATGTTAAATGGCCTGGCATTTTGAATGGAACATTGATAACATGAATGATATCAATTGTAGAATATAATTAAAATTTATCAATATTTCATACCATTATAACAATTTGAAAAAATAGAGGTAACAATGCTCTAACACGATTGAAAAAAAAAATTGTTTTCATAATGGTGAAAGTATTCTATTTTCGCATTTCAGGAGCTTTATTGTACAAAATTAACTTAACGCATCATTTTCCTCTTCCATTAATTTCATTGGCCAATTTCATATAATGGTTTGGATAGCCTACTTTCGATCTAGGCCTAGGACCAAGAGCTTTATTCTTGTAAATTAAACTTCAGATTATGTAAATAGGTATGGATAATCCGAGAAAGATCTATGCCGTGGGGTTTGGTCAAGGACCAGCTGGTAGAAAAGATCCTTAATTATGAACCTAAGTTGTTATTCTTATCATTATGAACCTAAGTTGTTATTCTTATCATTATGAACCTAAGTTGTTATTCTTATCATTTTGAACCTAAGTTGTTATTCTTATCATTATGAACCTAAGTTGTTATTCTTATCATTATGAACCTAAGTTGTTATTCTTATCATTATGAACCTAAGTTGTTATTCTTATCATTATGAACCTAAGTTGTTATTCTTATCATTATGAACCTAAGTTGTTATTCTTATCATTATGAACCTAAGTTGTTATTCTTATCATTATGAACCTAAGTTGTTATTCTTATCATTATGAACCTAAGTTGTTATTCTTATCAAATATAGTTCTTTCTTTTTTTCTTTTACTAAAATAGATTTTAACTTTAGTTAGTTTTATTATATTAATCAATAAATTTTGACGACTTTATCTCTTTTTAAAAATGAGAATCATACTTCAACCAATCACAAAAGAAGGATTTTTTATCCAGGATTCTAGGTTATTATATAGTAAACAAGATGATTAAGTCTATTTATAGCATGTCTTGTCTATGGATTTTCTACGCACTAGGTCTTAAATCAGACGTCTGTGATTCCTGCAATTCCACTAAAACTAAGTGTTTGATGATGTCACGAATCGCAAAATATACATTATCACATAAGGACGTGGCGTTATAAAACGTCGAGTTTGAACGGAATTGTCTGATAGTAATTTGCAACCAGGAAAATTGATGCTATTAGTGTCCCCAATATACATACAAAATTTAGAAATCCTCTTTACAGTCAGTTTTTTCAGAAGTGCCGATTCTTTTGCCTTTCTGAAGGCTATATATGCCAAAATTTATTTTAATTTGCTTGCATTGAAAATAATGTCAATACAATGTTTCTATATTATATGCCTAATGTGTGTTATACCATTCAAATCATCTATTCAGAACAATGACTAACCTATTTCCAATTGTTATATAAAAAATCAATACAACCTTGAACTTCACTAAATCAGTTTTTAAATATGGCTGCCAATTAATTTTAATTCTTGAAAAGATTTGGTATCAGTTTTTGTTCAGTCAGAATTTGGGACCACTGGTACCAGAAACCACAATGTGACTTGGCTTTCACTATGTCACCCTTTGAACACTGAGCATGATATTTAAGCAACGCGAAGGCTTTCTACTGAGAATATCCATAAAACCTGCAGGACCAAATTAGGAAATAACAGACAAAAGCTGTCCTGATTCACGATCTAGATCTTGTTAAGTGGCAAGGCACAGTGTGTATTGTAGCACGACCAATTTGTGATAAACATCGGTGACAAACTGTGCATGATTGCATTTAGGAAGGTATGTATAAAAGTGTGCTGAATTATTTTAGCTGTTGTCCTACAGCAACAATAACAGTACTCAGACATGATTGGCCCACACAGGTGAATCAACAGCCCTGATTGTGAGTGATATCTAATCAATCGCCTGTGGTGATGTATAATTAAGAAAGGAAGTAAACCAGTCTAATAGGCATGTTGTCATGTCAAGATGACTGGTTAATCAATAGCCTGTCGAGTGGACATTGACCACAAGCAACATCAGTGATACAAGAGTATATTTTCAATGACCACCGGTCCAATTCCGACCAATTTCTGTGGACTATTTCTATTATACCCAGAGATGCCTTCATTTCATTTCGTAAATTCATTTCAGTTTATAAATTCATTTCATTTCATAAATTCATTTCATTTCATAAATTCATTTCATTTCATAAATTGCGTTTCATTTTATTTCATAAATCATTTCATTTTATAAATTCATTTCATTTTATAAATTCATTTCATTTGGTAAATTCATTTCATTTCGTAAATTCATTTCGTAAATTCATTTCATTTTGTAAATTCATTTTATTTCATTTTGGCACATCATTCGTTTCCAATTCCAACACATCAATTCATTTCATTTTATTTCATACCTCAATTCATTTCATACATTATTTTAAAAATCATTTCATTTCAAATTCATTTCATTTCATTAGATACATAATACTTTTCATTTCATTTAATAATTAGTGGTATGTGGGAAATGTCCAAGCTCGGTAGCTAGCTGAAACTAATCAATACTCTATTAGCTGACCAGACAAGACCAGTAAGTCAGTAGATGTGATCGCGTGATGACCAAAGACAACATGCTGGCTTAATGACTAGAGCAGATTAATAAAAAAATAGGTGACCTGCATTGAGTCAGGATGGTATTAGCTTTTAAAACTCGGTTAATCATGGTATATGAACTAAAATCAATACTGATATAGGTCTATTGTTATAAACTGCTAAATATACCATATACTTAGTGACATTATCATACAGTCACTGTATTTCCTCACATTCCACATCCTGGATACCTGATACCACTTTATGGTTGAAATTCTCATACGAGTATCCTTCTTAAATTGAAACATGACATTCAAGTTAAACATGAAAGTAAGAATAAAGTTCATTTTTTTTTCAACTTTTTAAAAAAATTTATCTCTATTAAATTGCAAGAACTTTTAGTATAACAAGTATTATGTTTAATTTCTTTATCCTTTTGTACACAGATATATCAGTTTTGGTTTAAATCATTCCTGGTGTTTCCATTTATGTCATAAAAAAGTAAGCCTTGTTCATTCTTTACATATATCTTAGTGGAACTTAAATTCCATTGCATGCAAGTCTTTGAATATGGAAAGGAAACGAGGCATCGCTTTTTTACAAGATCCTCTAGGCTAATAACATACAGTTATCATAATTATCATTGCCAACATGTTATATATCATTATATTTACTGATGAATCTAATCATAGGAAATAGGTCAACGTCAATATTTAATAACCAAACCAAGTATATTAGCAATACATAACCTGAAGCTCAAGATATTTTTAGCCACAAACTAGGTCAAAAGCCCATTGCTTCTTGGGTAATGGTATTATCATAATGTCATTACATGTATTAGCAACTAATGTCAAGGCTCTGAAAGTTATTTCAATTATACACATGTTAGTATTTCAGTACTGGATAATAAAAAAAAACAAGCTACAGGGGGTTGTGGGTCATGACATCCAAACAATGGGGCGTAACAGTTGTACAACCTTGAGATTTTCAGCTCCCAATGCATCATTGACAATTCAACCTTTGGTGTTTTTGTGCTTAAATTTTCAACTGGGTTTCTAAGTCACAACACCCTGCATAATTGCCAGTGGATGGAAGCAGTGCCATTGGTGAAGAAGGGCTATAACATTGATGAAGAAGGTCTGTAACATTGATGAAGAAGGGCAATGACATTGATGAAGAAGAATAACAATAACATTGATGAAGAAGGGCAATGACATTGATGAAGAAGAATAACAATAACATTGATGAAGAAGGGCAATGACATTGATGAAGAAGAATAACAATAACATTGATGAAGAAGGGCAATGACATTGATGAAGAAGAATAACAATAACATTGATGAAGAAGGGCAATAACATTGATGAAGAAGGGCAATAACATTGATGAAGAAGGGCAATGACATTGATGAAGAAGAATAACAATGACATTGATGAAGAAGAATAACAATAACATTGATGAAGAATGGCTATGACATTAATGAAGAACGCCAATAACAATGATGAAGAACGCCAATAACATTGATGAAGAAGGGCAATGACATTGATGAAGAAGAATAACAATAACATTGATGAAGAAGGGCAATGACATTGATGAAGAAGAATAACAATAACATTGATGAAGAAGGGCAATGACATTGATGAAGAAGAATAACAATAACATTGATGAAGAAGGGCAATGACATTGATGAAGAAGAATAACAATAACATTGATGAAGAAGGGCAATGACATTGATGAAGAAGAATAACAATAACATTGATGAAGAAGGGCAATGACATTGATGAAGAAGAATAACAATAACATTGATGAAGAAGGGCAATAACATTGATGAAGAAGAGCAATGCATTCATCTATTCAATGGCCTTTTTTTATTACTATTTTGAAAACCAGGAAGTCAAAGGCAACAATAATTTGAATGTTTAAAAATCAATAGTTAACTGCCGCTCTCTGAGGAATTTCATTGATTTGTCTTCCAACTGCCTGTACTTAGTTCCACACTTACATGTAGGTGTGTTAACTGTTCAAATATAAATAAAGCAACCTTCACCTTTCAATAGCTGACTACAGCGCAGTATTTATAAGCTTCAGGACAGTTGAGGTTAAATTTATTGCTAAACAACAACAGACTTATTTTATATATAATTATCATTTTTTGCACTAGTTAAAACAAAACAATTGATATTTTCTTCACAAAATTTTTTTTCAAATTCATTCTAGGAAGGGTTAATGTTAATGTTAAAAGTTAATGTCTTAAATCAAATCCTTCATTAGCAATAAAATAATTCATTGAAAAATAAAATAAAATTGTTTGAAAGACATCAATGATAATTGAATCAAACTGGGCTTTTACAAATACTTGCTTATTTTGACCCCCAAAAAACCCACCTATTGCAAGAAAAAGATACTGATACTGAAGAAAGTCATCAGGGGCTTGCTGTACAAGAGGACAATACAATGGAACCAGTGAACTATTGGTGGAAGTGGTACAAGACACTACAATAGAACCAGTGAACTATTGGTGGAAGTGGTACAAGACACTACAATAGAACCAGTGAACTACTGGTGGAAGTGGTACAAGACATTACAATAGAACCAGTGAACTATTGGTGGAAGTGGTACAAGACACTACAATAGAACCAGTGAACTATTGGTAGAAGTGGTACACCAAGACACTACAATAGAACCAGTGAACTATTGGTGGAAGTGGTACAAGAGGACAATACAATAGAATCAGTGAACTATTGGTGGAAGTGGTACAAGACACTACAATAGAACCAGTGAACTATTGGTGGAAGTGGTACACCAAGACACTACAATAAAACCAGTGAACTACTGGTGGAAGTGGTACAAGACACTACAATAGAACCAGTGAACTATTGGTGGAAGTGGTACAAGAGGACAATACAATAGAACCAGTGAACTATTGATGGAGGTGGTACAAGAGGACAATACAATAGAATCAGTGAACTATTGGTGGAAGTGGTACAAGAGGACAATACAATAGAATCAGTGAACTATTGATGGAAGTGGTACAAGATGACAATACAGTAGAATCAGTGAACTATTGGTGGAAGTGGTACAAGAGGACAATACAATAGAATCAGTGAACTATTGGTGGAAGTGGTACAAGAGGACAATACAATAGAACCAGTGAACTATTGGTATAAGTGGTACAAGAGGACATTACAATAGAACCAGTGAACTATTGGTGGAAGTGGTACAAGACACTACAATAGAACCAGTGGACTATTGGTGGAAGTGGTACAAGACACTACAATAGAACCAGTGAACTATTGGTGGAAGTGGTACAAGATGACAATACAATAGAACCAATGATCTACTGGTGGAAGTGGTACAAGACACTACAATAGAACCAATGAACTATTGGTGGAAGTGGTACAAGACAGTACAATAGAACCAGTGAACTATTGATGGAAGTGGTACAAGATGACAATACAATGGAACCAATGATCTATTGGTAGAAGTGGTACAAGACACTACAATAGAACCAGTGAACTACTGGTGGAAGTGGTACAAGACACTACAATAGAACCAGTGAACTATTGGTGGAAGTGGTACAAGAGGACAATACAATAGAACCAGTGAACTATTGATGGAAGTGGTACAAGAGGACACTACAATAGAACCAGTGAACTATTGGTGGAAGTGGTACAAGAGGACAATACAATAGAACCAGTGAACTATTGGTAGAAGTGGTACAAGACATTACAATAGAACCAGTGAACTATTGGTGGAAGTGGTACACCAAGACACTACAATAGAACCAGTGAACTATTGGTAGAAGTGGTACAAGACACTACAATAGAACCAGTGAACTACTGGTGGAAGTGGTACAAGACATTACAATAGAACCAATGATCTATTGGTAGAAGTGGTACACCAAGACACTACAATAGAACCAGTGAACTATTGGTGGAAGTGGTACAAGATGACACTACAATAGAACCAGTGAACTATTGGTGGAAGTGGTACAAGAGGACAATACAATGGAACCAATGATCTATTGGTAGAAGTGGTACAAGACACTACAATAGAACCAGTGAACTATTGGTGGAAGTGGTACACCAAGACACTACAATAGAACCAGTGAACTATTGGTGTTAGTGGTACACTAAGACACTACAATAGAATCTGTGATCTATTGGTGGAAGTGGTACACTAAGACACTACAATAGAATCTGTGATCTATTGGTGGAAGTGGTACAAGATTACACTACAATAGAATCAGTGATCTATTGGTGGAAGTGGTACAAGACACTACAATAGAATCAGTGATCTATTGGTGGAAGTGGTACAAGACACTACAATAGAATCAGTGAACTATTGATGGAAGTGGTACAAGACACTACAATAGAATCAGTGATCTATTGGTGGAAGTGGTACAAGACACTACAATAGAATCAGTGAACTATTGATGGAAGTGGTACAAGACACTACAATAGAATCAGTGATCTATTGGTGGAAGTGGTACAAGACACTACAATAGAATCAGTGATCTATTGGTGGAAGTGGTACAAGACACTACAATAGAATCAGTGATCTATTGGTGGAAGTGGTACAAGATTACACTACAATAGAATCAGTGATCTATTGGTGGAAGTGGTACAAGACACTACAATAGAACCAGTGAACTACTGGTGGAAGTGGTACAAGACACTACAATAGAACCAGTGAACTATTGGTGGAAGTTGTACAAGACACTACAATAGAACCAGTGAACTATTGGTAGAAGTGGTACAAGATGCTACAATAGAACCAGTGAACTATTGGTAGAAGTGGTACAAGACACTACAATAGAATCAGTGATCTATTGGTGGAAGTGGTACAAGACACTACAATAGAACCAGTGAACTACTGGTGGAAGTGGTACAAGACACTACAATAGAACCAGTGAACTACTGGTGGAAGTGGTACAAGACACTACAATAGAATCAGTGAACTATTGATGCAAGTGGTACAACAAGACACTTCCAAAGATCTGCCACTTCTAACATTATGGATAAGTACTAAAATATTTAATAGGGTGTCAATATTTTTTTATATCAATGGTTTCATAAAAATCACTTTTGTAATTTTGTCAAATTTCAGTGCTGATTAAATATGTTATTTAATTTCAATTTTTTGAATCAATCAATCCATTTTTATAATATTGAAAAATAAATATATATTATACCTAAGAAAAAAAAATCTTCAAATTAAAAAATAGAAAAAAAGTATATAAAAAACACAATTGTAAAATAACACCAAATAAATTTCTTTAAAAAATGTAATAAAAATATGAGAGCCTCACCTAATTTCAAGAAGATAAAAAAAATCCCCACTTTTATAACATTATCTCATATTGAATAAAGGCAGTGGTCCTATTTATGAGATTTTATTCAGGTTGATAAAGTCGGTCATGTGTTTCATTATCGACTCGAAGTCTTTTACATACACACATATATAATAATATACTCCAATGGATAGGTTATCGATTCATACCCTCTAACGCAATAGTTATACATATTTCTCCACTTGATATTAAAAATGGACCGCTCGCCAGTTATTTATGATTAAATCATGTCCGAGAGAGTTAGGCTAGAGAGCTAGAAACGCATTATTTTGATCTGTTTAGCAATGAACTAAAAAAAAATCGATGCCAAGTTATTTGCTTAAACATGTCAATCCAGCCTCCATGTTTCAACAATATGCTTTTTTTCAATCCACCTTTCAGGTCATGTCGAACTAAATTGGATTCGAATTTTCATTTTCAAAAATTCTTCAGGTCAAAATCTCGACACGAGAAGCCCTCGTCCATTGTCGAGTTTCAATTCGGGTCATATGACCTCCTCTATTGCACAAAAAATGTCAGTACGCCTCAACATTTAACTGCCCCAGAAAAGAGCGCAAGAGGCCCGAAATTTTCAAACGGTACATGTACACATTGACAACGTGGTGTACAAATTCCAAAGGGCCGAATTAGGTTGATCAGGACCGGGAAGCCGTCCCGGAATGTCCGTTTTCAGGATTTGACCTGCCTTCTCCAGCTCTTACGAAAATACATGTAATATAACGACCTGCTCGGTATACATTAGATTACATATTCGACCAACCGCCCTGACTCAATATCGGCCGTTTTTCACCCAAGACAGCTGATATCCGGCTTACCAAACCCTACCATCAGAAAGACGACATGTCCAAAAATATTCTACCACTAACCTTGTTTTAATTCCTCATTTGTATCAGCAGGCATGCGACAGCGAAATTTCCTGAAAATTACATTTGTCCATGCCGCTAAAGTCGGCTCGCTCCTTACCACATAGTCCCAGTGACCTAAATATGAGCGCGCGCTGCTGACCTACTTTGCCTCACTGACCGTCCAATCGCTGGCTAGTTTGAGGTCGTCTGCTATCTTGAGAAAAACAGATTCAGTGTAAAACCAAGGCTGAAGACCAGTGCTATCGATTACGTGTTTTTGGTGGTAAGAACGACCAACAAACAACACGGAATCAGAACAATTGACTTTGATTGGTTGTTAGATAAGACGGTGACCTATCAAATTGCTGATGGTTAGATTCGTCTTCAGCATCAGGGATGAGTTGCCACTCGAAGTTTCTGGACACAAAAGAAGAGATGTAATAAAAATGTAGACCTCGAGATTTTGAAAAATGGGAACATTAATTTGAAGCGGAATGGTGTTGTAAGGTCAGGAACTATCGACCCGCCTTCTAGTGTTCTTTGTAGATAAGGTTACTCGAAATAATGTACTCCCGTATACTATAGAGTCAGTTATGTATATATATTATACATGATACTCTTATGTACCGCAACTTATTTTCGATTGTCGAAA